CGGGGTGCGGAAGGGGACGTGTCCGGTCCGTGGTGTTCAGGAAGGGGAGGGGGTGTTAGGGTGCCCGGCGGGCTTACCGCTGTCCAGAGGGGCGGTGAGGTCCTTCGGGTGTTTTGGTGCAGAAAATGGGACACTGGAGTGGGTAAGGGGCATTTTTGGGGCAGGAAAGGAGATTTTTGAGTGCGGTAACAGGTCCAGGTCAGCCCCATGTGCCCTTAGGTTCATCCCCTTTTCCTCCACACACCCTTAGGTTTCCTCCATTCCCCTCCATTTCCCCACAGATCACCCTTATTCATCTCCATCCACACTTCAATGTTCATTCTCTTGCATGCGTGCTCGGGTCCTCCCTGCGAGAAATCTCTGCCTGCGGTCCAACCTCCTTCAGGTTCCCCATTCCAACCTACTGAAGACACCTAAACAAGCATGCTGGTCATCTTCACCTTCTCACCAGAGGCTGAGCGCTTTGCATCTCCAGTTTGAGACTTCTGTTTTCCATGCCACCCTGAGCTGACAATGCTAGTTGATGTTCAGGACCAGGGAAAGAAGCTCTGGAGACATTTGTTGTACACCTCCATTCCCCCATGGAGCCCTTCATGTGCTGCCAGGACAAAGACCTTCCAAGCCACAGGTGCCTGATGACATATTCCAAGACAATTTGCTATCTGTGGCATGTCTGGACAGTCCATCATGGCCTCTTAAACTTTTCTTCTTCAGAGCCAGAAGCTAGTAGTCTTGGATGTAGCCCATGTCCTTTACAGCCCCCCATGCCACCTCAGCTGCCCTGCTTCTTTTCACGCACAGCTGTCCACAGAGCTTGCAGTTTTTGGAAGTGCAAAATAAATATTCCGTGCCTGTTCCCTCGCTTTCAGCCAGGCATTGCCTCTTTGCTTGGCCTCATTCATACACTCTGTGGACTAACATGCCCCTAGTTTTGTGAGACACCCTTCCCTTCTGTCCGCATTTTAACCATGCTCAGGTCTGCTGGCTGAAGAAAGGCACCAGCTGCACAATACAACTTTGTAGTCATCCACAATAATTTCTGTATCTTCTGTTGGCACCTGCTTTTTTGGCTACAAGTAATTTCTGTCCAGAGCTAGTGGGATTTCTGAGACCCCATTCAAGCACTGTGTCCTTGGGACATGTTTTGGCTAACCCAACCCATCCCACCAGAGCAGGAGCAAGGGAGGCTCATGGGTCCTCGTGTCTGAGGTGATGGGAGTCAAAGGAGGTCGCAGGCCTTACCTTTACCACTGCTTTGCCCAGACCAAGTGATGCTTCCTCTTTTTCCAGTGCGCAGAAGTGAGCTCACCCCTAACAGGAACAAGCTTATGGTGACTTGTAACACTGTGGTATCCTCTGCTGCATGTGTCTCTTTGTCCTTAGTTCAATATGCATTTCACTTCCAAAAACCGAGCTTGTCTGATCAGACGGAAGGCAGAAACCCCAACACAAACTGTTCCCACTCCTCTTCCTGCTCAGCAAAGGCCACCAAGGTGGCTTACTGAAGGCAACTGTCTCTTCTGACAATGTCATGAAGCTTAAGGGCAATGATGGCCTATAGTGATATAAGACTTACGGTGGGATGCAGAGGAAGGAGAATTTGGGGATGACACAGAGCAGAACCTAGGGATCGTATGAAATTTCATAAGGGATGTTTAAGGGAATAGATGTAGGAAGGGGAAAGGGAGGGATCAGGGGAGGAACAAGCATGGGAAAACAGAAAGAAAAGGGAGAAAAGGGTTCAGTGGCATGTAAGCAGTGGTAGGTATGCTTGCCTGCCTGAGCATCTTGTTTCATCACTGCAGTCTGTCCTATACTCTTATTAAATCGTATTTCCTCTGGTGCAATCATGCTCCCCATTCCAAGCCTGTGGTTTTGACCAGCTGGTAAACCTCAGGCTGGACAAGCTGCTCCATAGAACAGGAGCAAAGTAAGGCAAAGCCATGCAGGGTGTGAGGGACCTGAGGGTCTGGGATCTGTCCACCAGAGACCGGTGCTCAGAGTCTGCAAGTGTGCATGCACACATGCATAGGTGGTTGGCCACCTCCCAGGTGGACCAGCCAGTGCACAGGCCAGGCAAGAAGAGCCTGGGCAAAGTTTCTCCAGGTGTCTCTCTGCAGAACCAGAAATGAGCTGTGCCCTGGTTCCTGCAGTTCACCAGACTCAGCTACCTCTAAGGTAAAACCCCTTCAAACCATGGCTTAAACTGATGGTCTGCTGCTGTGTGATGTGTCCTGATTTTTTTAGTGCCTGTGGGTAAGGCCTGCAATTGGGGTCTCACTTTTAGAAGTCTGTGGTGTGTTACTTGAAACGTCTGGGCTTGGGGTGGGCTGGAGAGTGCGATGGGAAGGGTATGATCCCGTCTAATAAGAAACCCATTCCTGACCCCAAACAAAGAAGAAGCAAGTCCTTAGCATTGGAAAAGTATATTTTTGTATTTCAGGGTAGTGGAAAAGAGGGCTTCTGTCTCTGAGGAATCCCAGTGAGTCTGTGAAGTGGGGCATTACGCAGCTTATGTACCTCCTTGGGAATATGGCAAATGAGGCCACATGATCAGGATAGCTTTTCCATCAGCTTGGGGGTAAATAATACCGTAAGAAACTTTTTATCTTTCATTGCTTTCATTATCAATCATTCATATTGATTTTAGTGTCTTGCTGATTTTTTTTTTCAACTCTTTGGGTGCTTCCTTGTATTTTCCATCACAGGGCTGAGATTTGGCGAGGAACTGTTTTCAGCTGCATGAAGACCCACATGTACAGGGTAGGCACATGGAGGTGATGGAGGGGTGTGCCTGCAGTTCTGTGCCCATGTCGCACAATGCACCCAAGTGTAAGCCTTGCAACAAGCTTCTTGCAGCCCCCACTTCTCACAGGCCACCAAGCAAAACTAGCCTGGCTTGGTGATGGGACTCACCATGCTGGCTGCAGCACTGCATCAACCCCAGAAGTGCTTCTGTGCTGAGACAGGGTGTGGCGTGGAGAGTGGATCGCTCTGACCCTGCTTCTGGCCATCAGCTGATAATGCCTCTGGGTATTACAAGCGTGAATCTGAAGCAGGACTTGCTCTACTGATTTTTTGTGTGATCTCAGCTCCACAAAGCCCAGACTCTTCATAGATCCCTTTATTGCTGTTTTCTTTCTGGAATGTTGTTTTACCTCTTCGACCAGGCATTGATTACCTACACTAATACCATACACTACCCTTATGCTCCTCAGGGAAAGTTGTGAGACATCTAGTGTTGACGCGGAAGCTCGGACAGATACACCACGACCAATATGATCAGGGTAAATGCCACTTTATTGCACAGATAGCTCAGCTAATATAGACAATTTTCTCCTGCGCCACGCAACTCTCAAGCAATAATTGGTTACATGCATAGTTCAAGCAATCATCTCTACTATATGATTGGCTAGCCCCAGCTGTTCACTCGCATAGTTATCTACTTCTATGTTTTACTCAAAAATCCTGCTTATCGGTACATTCAGCAACAGTTCTTTCCTCCCTCCACATAACTCAGCCGTTCACAAAACACAATTTGAACTTCGACATTCCTTGAAGCTTACACTGTCATCAACAAGTTCTCAGTGCTTGGGGTGCTCACAGGGTGACCATTGATCTCTAAAAATTCTCCCACAATCTAGTAATTCTACAACTCTCATAATTTTCTGGTGTTGGCCCTGAAGATAGAGAGATCTGGGTTTCATAGAATCATAGAGTAGTTTAGGTTGGAAGGAAACTTGAAGGTCATCTAGATCCAAACCCCCTGCCATAGCCAGGGACACCTCCCACTAGACAAGGTTGCTCCAAGCCCCGTCCAGCCTGGCCTTGAACACCTCCAGGGATGGAGCTTCCACAACTTCTCTGGGCAACCTGTTCCAGTGCCTTAAGACCCTCACAGTGAAAAATTTCTTCCTAATATTTAATCTAAATCTCCCGTCTTCCAGTTTGAAGCCATGCCCCCTCATCCTATCACTTTTAAAAAGTCCCTCTCCAGCTTTCCTGTAGCCCCTTTAGGTACTGGAAGGCCACTATAAGGTCTCACCAGAGCCTTCTCTTCTCCAGGCTGAACAAACCCAGCTCTCA